TATAATGGGTACAATTTCAAGTATCAAGAGTTCTTTAATTTCTAATATATATTATAGCATATCATATATTTACAGATGAAAAGAATTGCAGTTCTACTCTAATACTGATTTTTGACAGCTTCTGATTCCTGGGCATATTTGAAGATATTTATTTAACTTCATAGTGTTAAGTTTCCAATTTTTTATTACTTCTATTACTGACCTCTTGAGGGTGGGTTGGGGGGAGCAGGATTCAGTTTTTCTTTGAGCATTACTAGAAAATCAGCATATGTGCCATAAGCATAAAACTCAGCCCCAGAAAACTTTAATTTCTAGTAGAGGTGCTCATGGCTCCTTCAAGTAGGTTGTAGAGAAAGAGGATTATAACGTTATCAGTAATAGGTATCACAGCTCAAGTTACAGTAAGAGCAGCTTTTTTATGACAAGTACCTGCCTCTATAATTTTGTTTATTCATATTTTCTTGTTGTTCTTTCCTACTCTCAGATTAATTATACATAAGAAGTGTAAAAATACCTCACCAATACTGGAAAAAGTCACTAGGATTCCAAATACGCCATCAGCATTCATGTCACTTGTCACTTTGATAGTGCAGTTTTCAATAATTTTTGGTACACCAACAACCAAACACGTGTACAAATCAAGTTTTTAATTTCTACTTTTTAACACAATCACAGAATGGCCTGGGTTGGAAGGGCCCTCAAGGATCATGAATCTCCAACCCCCCCACAGGCAGGGCCACCAGCCTCCCCATTTAATAGTAGACCAGGCTGCCCAGGGCCCCATCCAACCTGGCCTTGAACACCTCCAGGGGCGGGCATCCGCAACCTCTCAGGGCAGCCATGAAATTTTGATGCTTTTGTTTCTGTTTCAGCTTTGTATTTATTTTACTATTTTTTACTGACAAATTGCAGTTCAAGGATCTGAAGTCATTACACTTGTCCTTTTCTCTTGCTACGGTAGCATAATATTGATGTTGCAGTGCTGCAGACTCCCACTGTCTTGTGCAAAAGTGAAATAGTTTCCCTTAGTGACAGTGTTAACAACATGTGCTCATCCAATGTGGTCTATATCTTGAGATCAAGAGAAAATATTTGAAACAGACACCTTGCTCTCTTGCATCTGGAATGAGGGTATTTTGACTGCAATAACATCTTTCCAATTCACTGCCAACTCTCTTCCCAGTTCAGAATCCCATTTGAGTTCTAAAGCTTAATCTCCTAATTAAATCAAAATATGAAAACAGAAATGAATGCTGAAAGCAATTGTAGGCCAAAAACACAATTAAATACAAACAGCATTTGGAAGTCCTGATTTTCCACAGTGACTAAGCTTAGAGGCCACATGCTGCTGGAGCTCCTTGGTCCTCCCTCAGCTTTACACCCCAATTTGTAAAAACAGACAGTCTTACATCTTTGAGTTTATGCAGGTAGAGCCAAGAGTACAGTCTGGGTGGGTACTGATCTTCTTGATCTTGCTTTTTCCTGAACTTGTCTGAAAGATAACTAAGATCAGCAGGATGTTTCAAGCCGAGAGCTTTAAATTAAGGGTATGGTGCTGTAATCAAGGCACCTGTGGGCAATTTTCTGATCTAGAGATGGTTGCCAACCAAAGTGAAACTGAAACAAACTTGCTGCTGTGGATCTTCACATCGTTCCTCTGATCATCTCTCCTGTGTTCCTCGTTGCCTCCAAATTCAGTTCATTAAAGGGGTCTTAAGGTCCATAAACCATTCAGCTGGAAAATGACGAGTTTTTAGAATCTAAAACTACTTCAGACTTCTGGCGTGAAGTTCAGATTGCTTATGGATATTTGTTCTCTAATAGCCTATTTATAGGACTGCAGACTTTGGTTTTGGTATCTTATCAGATTTTATATGTTGGATAAATAATTTTGTACAACAGCATAAAACAGTTGTATGGAGGGATCATCTCCCTTATTCTATATGTCTTCTAACTATACACGTGCGCAAGTGAAGCTCATATAACATTCTACATTTTATCATAGTAAAGCTTGTTTATCCATTGCTCTTGGTATGTTGAATACCATAAGGAAAACACAGGTACTTTCTCAATAGAGAAAAACCATCTTTTTTTTTTTTTTTTTTTGAATGGATTTTCATCCTCATGATATTAGAGTCTACACTGAGCATTTAATAAATTTAATTTAATGCATGTATTTTCATTGACTGCAACTCCATTGTTGCAAATAGCTATTTTAATTTCACCTTGACGCTTTCCTCCTGCTTCAGATCAAAGGGCAAATGAAGCTGTTTAAGCAACCGTAGGATTATTGGCATATTTGCTAAGCTCTTAAAGAATCTAAGCAAAGGGAGACTGGTAGACTCACTTTCCATGTAAACTAAGATGTATAGGCTGTGCCAACATGCTTTTGCTAAGGGTAAGTGATCATGCTGAAACTTTCCTGTTCTTCAAATTGGATTTCCAGCAGAATGTTGACTTCCCTAGCCCATAACAGAAACACACATCCTTAGCATACTTCCTGTATTTACACTCCTAGTGAAGTAAGGAAATGTTTTTACACTGAAGTCCATTTAATTCTTTTGGAGATTGATTGTTTAGTGTGTATAGAAACCACTTCTAAGAAATGTCTTACCTGGGTTGCCAGTGAAGCATGACAGTTTTTCACTGGTTTCACTACACTGAAAAGATTTTTCTGGTAACCTACCATCATCACTGGTAACGATAGGTAGCATACAGGATACATCTCCAAAGTATTTTCTTGAGTAAAGGTACCTCTTTGGTCTGTACCATTGAAAATACTGGACCTTGAGTACCTTGAACATTACTTGACATCTCTGCCATCATCATCCAAATCCTTTTCATTCTTGAGCACAAAATCTCACTAATGAGATTTTGCAGGCTGTACAGGCTGAGTGCCTACAGGCTGAGCTCTGGTGCCAAACAACTGATGAGATCTGTGTTCTCATCTAGCACCTTGCTCAGGGCAGCGTTGACAAAAGAAGTAATTGCAGAGATGAATATTGTTTTTTATGGCCATGTAAACCCTGATGTGGGCATACTGATAGGGATAGGATGGGAGATAGACTCGGGCTCTGAATTATCTCCTTGTTTTACTCATCACAGAGACACTGGTTGAAGATTGTGTCCTCTCAGAAGTTTTCCACTGTTGGTTTTGGTTCTCACACGTGTCTCAGAACTACAGAGGTAGGAGTCTAATATGGCTGCTGTTTCAGCCATGGCATCCCTCTCAAGAACATCATCCCTACCTATACAGTAAGGACAGATCTGCCGAAGTGCCCTTGACTGATAACTATCCATGAGGAACATCTCTAGGGCAGAGTGCTGCTAATCTCTAACAATTAGAAGCAGACAATACTTACATCTCTTGTTATCCCAACCTTACAACAGCCATAAAGATGTGAAGGCCTCTACCAAAGTTCTATTTAAACCACATTGTCTTTCTGCTCTTTTTTTTTTTTCTTGCCACGTATATAAGCATGTCATTACCTCCTAAAAGGCAGGGTAGAAATCTCTACTTTTACTAACTTCAGAAGGGACCTCTGGAAATCTCTAGCCCAGCCCACTGCTGGGGCAGGTGGGTGCTGAATTACCTTTGAATTAGACAGAGAAATAAAAACAAGTCCTTTTTTTTTTTCTCTCAATAATTCCATATGTAAGATCTGAGTCACAAGGTCCATTTGGTGCTTTGAAGAGCCATGGGGCAGTAAAGTATCAAATAAAATACTGAAGTTGCTTTTTCACCACTGTTCCTGAACAAAACTAATATTTTCATATTTGTCTAAGTTGTCCTGTTCTGCTTACATGTAGATTGGATATTAGGAAAAGTTTCTTCTCTGAAAGAGTGGTCAGGTGCTGTAATGGGCTGCCTAGGGAGGTCATTGTCCCTGGAGGTGTTCAAGTGATGTTTAGATGTTATAATAAGGGATATGGTTTATTGGAAAATATTGGTGGTAGGTGGATGGTTCTACCAGGTGATCTGGGAGGTCTATTCCAACCTTGATGGTTCTCTGATTCTAAACACACAAAATAACACTGCTGTGCACATTTCAGATCCTTATGTCTGCTGCACTGCAGCATATGCTAGAATTCTCACTGGTTTTGGCATAGGAACAACAGTAGTTGCAGTGGCAGTGTTATTAGATTTATGTAAGATTTATGCTGATGGATTTTAACATTCCTCAGGCGTTCTTATTTACATGATGCAGTCTTTCCTGATACAAGCTACATGATAAGACCTGTATCTGAGTCTTTGTGTTGCCATAGGAACAGTCAAAATCTAAAGCATCTCCCTATAAAAGGAAATGTTTCTCCTGTAAAACACTCATAGGAAAGTCACTCTCCTGTCAAACCAGTGGCACTTTCATTTTCATTACCTAGAATAATTTGAAGTAAGATGAGTTTACACTGATGATCTTTTCACTTGTGACGGAATGTTAGAAGTGCCACCTTATGCTAAATTTGGAGAAAATCATAGCTTAATTTTCATTTCTTTCAAAACACAGTATTTCCTTTTGTAACCTTCTAATAGAGCCCTTTGGGTTTTTTTGTGCTGGAAAACTTACCAGACTAAAAATATTAATTGACTTTCTTTTTCCAGTATCTACTTGCTTCTTGATAGAACAATAATGAAAACAAGTCTGCAGCATTAAATAATTTTGTGTTGATCTTTTGAGCATGCTGAGATGACTGTAAATGTAAGTATGGGTGTATATATGATCAGAGAAGCGACATCATAAACTGATCAGAGTTCTTACTCACAAATTGATACAACTTTTCCCTTTAAGTAGTGTTATGTCAGAGGCATTTTTGTTGTAGTTCCTTTTCCTACTTCCTTTTTTCTTTGTAGGCTGAGATGTCATTTTGTCAAAAATACATCAGTGCATGTTGTGTTCTGCCTGGATATTTAGGATATTTACTGTAGTGAAATCTATAGAGAATCTTGTCCTAGCCAAGCTACAGGGCTGCATTTCCAACAAAAACATTTGTTCTCCTAAAATTTAGTTCACACCTGTAACAGCCCTGATAGTACTCCAGTTCTGCTGAGCTATTCTCTGCTTCCTCAACATTTTCCTCAGGACTCCTCTAATTTCCTTGTTCCTCAAGCTATAAATAAGGGGGTATAGTAATGGAGTAATATTGGTGTAGACTAGAGAAACCATCTTGTCTCGAGCTGGTGAGTAACTGGACTTAGGACGAATGTACATGAAGGAGGCACATCCATAGTGTAGCAAGGTGATGATCAAATGTGAAAAGCAAGTGGAAAAGGCTTTGCCCCTCCTGAGGGAGGAAGTGATACGTAGCAAAACAGCAGCAATACACACATAAGAGGTCAGGATCAAGATGAAGGGAAGTAGCAGGAGGAGCACACAGGCCGCCAGCAGGGGAAGCTCAGGGGTGTAGCTGTGTGTGCAGGCCAGGTGAAGCACTGCAGGGATGTCACAGAAGAAGTGGTTGATGTGATGTGACTGACAGAAAGGTAAGTGGAAAACTGACACTGTCAACCCCAGGGCAACAGCAAAGCCTCCCAGACAGCATGCTATGCACAGCCTAAGACAGAGCCCCTCGCTCATCACCACTGCGTAGTGGAGGGGCTGGCAGATGGCAATGTAGCGGTCATACGACATGGCTGCCAGGAGAAAGCACTCAGCTCCGCCGAGTCCCACAAAAAGGTACATCTGGGCAGCACAGCCTATGAAGGAAATGGTGATGCCATTCATAACCATCAGGCCGAGGAGTGCCTTAGGGACAATGACTAAGGTGTAGCAAAGCTCAATGATGGAGAGCTGACAGAGGAAGAAAAGCATGGGAGGACGAGAATGCTCCATAAAAACAGCAATGAAGATCATCGTATTCCCTGCCAGTGTGACCAAATGGATGATGAGAAAGATAAGGAAGAGGAGGACCCGCAGACGGAAATGCTCAGAGAAGCCAAGAAGGAGGAACTCCATGGTTGCATCAGTGCTCTCATTGTCCTTCTCCATGCAGCCTTCACATGGCATCTACAGGGAGAAAAACAGAGGGAGATAGTTGAATTTGACCTGATGCCTGGTAATCAACTCCACATATGAAATCATGTTGCAAGTGTGTAGAGCCAGTGTAGTAAAGCTCATTGTGAGATCTTAAGGGGAGGGAGGTGATTCTTGTGTAAGACATAAATTTGCAGACTTTCCCACTCGTGTTCTCATAACCACCAATGTATTTTTGCCCAATTATCTGCCCAGGATTCTTTGCTTTGAAACTAATGATGAGGAATATCAACTGTTGAATCTTCATCACTTCTTTGGAGTTCTTATGTTGATGACTATGTGCATTTTTTGAACATTTTAAGTACCTAGCAGTTGGCACTGATCAGTCTTTTAATTCTGTCCTGCCTTTGAAAATCATCATTTGCCTCTCCATCCTGATCTGAATGCTGTAAGAAACTATGTGGAGATATGTTAAGATGACCTCGTAATCTAGGTGCCATCAATTCCTAGGTGCCTTACAGACATTCTTCTACTGCTCCTTCTGATGCTTCCATCCCCAGGCAGATAGATTTGTTCTCTTTCGCACCAGTATTGAATCTCTCTGTATTCATGCCAGGGATGTACAAAGACAAACAGGCAGAGGGCTGGAGCTTCTGCTCCACATCTGATCCCAATTAATGGGAATTTCAGGTCCTCACTGACTGATTCCTCCTTTCTCCATCATGAAGCTGCCTCAAAATTTGTACCGAAACAAGATTTCAAACAGATGTTGGTGGCTAGACATGAGGATCTCAAAATTGGAGTTAACATTTTGGCTGCTTTTATCTTTATGCCCGTGTCAAACTTGTGGTATCACAGTTATATAATCCGATTTCCAAACTCAAAAACTGATCTATGTCAATGATAGAGAGCTGACAGAGGAAGAAAAGCACGGGGGGATGAGAATGCTCCATAAAAACAGCAATGAAGATCATCGTATTCCCTGCCAGTGTGACCAAATGGATGATGAGAAAGATAAGGAAGAGGAGGACCCGCAGACAGAACAGGCATCTATGGCAACATATTTCGTATAATTTTTTTTCTAAGGAAAATACAAAATTGTTATCTTGGACTTGGAGAAAATGAGACTACACATGTCAGAAGAAGAATATTCAGTTCCTTGGTATGTAGAGTGTTACAAAGCCGTTGAGATTGTAAAGATCTAGTAAATATAAGGGCATAGAGAACAGTAGAATAATATTGCATATAATCATAATGGATGAACAGTGTTCATTACTCACATGTGCATCATGTAAAGCAATATTTATTACAAGGAATAAATCAAATTCTTTCTTTACTTTACTGTATACTGGGATAAAAGTAGAGATTCCTTGAAGAGTTTTGCTCATATAAAATAATTAAAAAAAAAAAACAACACATCAATATTTAAGTATGAAAAAGGTTGAAAGTTACATAAAATGCTCTAACGTCATCATGGGAAAATAAAAGAAGTTTGAAGTTGTAAAAGAAATATTAGAGGGGAGAGGGAATTTCCTGGAAAGCAGACATCTTAAAAAAACTCCAGAAAGAAATAATCAATACAGTCAAAGAGGTGAATCTCATAAGCCTACACATCTCTTCAGTATTCGAAACATTTGGGGACACAGGTGGGTAATGAAAACATGTACAATTATATAATCTCATATGCAAAGCTAGGAATGAAATATCTGCGTAAGTGCATTACACACAAACACACAGTAGCTATTCTAAACAGTCCAGCTATAAAGGTTTCTTGATGCTATGTGCAAATAGGAGGTCTTGGAGGGGAACAGGAGTAGATACATGATCTCAAGACTGTACACCTAATCAGTGCAGACCAACTGGGGCTTCCTTCACTCCACGTACTGAGACTCTAACAGGATTCTACTAAACACAAGACTGAAGAGTGAAGAGGAAACAGGTTTCCCTTCCTTTTGTTTGGAAATGATCACATCAGTGGCAACATACCTTCTGTGGGTTAGAAGATAAAGAAATACAGACTTCTTCCTCTTGATGTGCCCAGTTCTGGCTGGGCTGAGATTTTATTTCTCCCTGTCTGGGTATTCTCTGGCTTTGAGTGCTCCCCAGAGCCAGTGTTTTCTTTCAGCACTTCGGAATTATGATCTTCCACAGGACTGACTTCCTTATATAGCATGACACAGAGGTCTTTCCTCTTCACCACTCTCTCTGCCCTCCTGCATGAATGACAGGCAGTTCCACTCCTCCTAAGGAAAGCAGCTTTGCAGTTTTTCTGTAAACCAAGCAAGAAAATGCATGTTCAACTTCAGAGGAGAACAGTGTTGTAACACTGAAGTCGTTATTCCTTCCATTAAACAGTCTGGAAGGAGCTGATTATTCTCTGGGCAGGTTTGCACCCCAAAATGGCAATAATTTGCCAAACAGAATGCATTGCTGCTCTTTTTAAACCAAGTTACTGTTTAAACCAAACTCACACTTAAAAGCAGAGCAAAACAAATGTAGAGCCTTTAAACAAATCTGTGGAATTATGTGTGGTATTTTCACCAGTTAATACAATCCATTATATCTTATTGAGCCAGATAAAAACACTGCTTAGCAATGGATTGGACTGAGATCATTCATAATCAGTTTATATTTATTGTCATTGTTACACTAAATCCTGGCCATTTATGCTGAAATCATTGAAGAGATGTGTAGGTTCATGTAAGTAGAAAGGAGAGAAAAAGTCAAGATTTTTGAATGCTAAAGTGATCTAAAGTGATAAAGATCTCCATTAATATAGCTATTGCAGAAGCATGTAATTATTGGACCTTAAGATTTTTACCAGGACATGATTTAGAAGAATTCTATTATTGAAACGTGTTCTAGGGACATATAGGGACTCATTGGTAGGAGCTTTGCAAGATGAACATGAACTAAGAATACATCATATATTGGCCTGCATTAGCAAGACAATGACCCACAGGTGAAATTAAGTGATTATTCTTTGTTACCTGGCACACAAAAACCATATCTCGAACAGTGGACATCAGTGTCCTCCATAGAAGAGCAATAAAAACAAAATCAAGAGAAGCACTCTACAACTCTTCCTGAAGGGAAGTTGTGATCAGGAGGGATTTGGCCTCTTCTCCCAGGCAACAAACAGGACCTGAGAAAATGGCCACAAATTGCACTAGAGGAGATTTATATTAGATAAAAGGAAAACTTTTTCTCTCCAAGAGCGGTCAGGTGCTGGAATGGCCTGCCCAGGGGAGCTGGTGGAGTCACAGGCATCTGGATGAGGTATGAGATATGGTTTAGCAGCTTAGAGGGTAGTAAGGGTGATAGGATGGTTGGACTAGATGATCTTGTAGGTCCTTTCCAACCTTGCGATTCTATGATTCTAAGCATGTGATGTCCAAGGAGAGGCTGAGGGAGTAAGATTTGTTTAGCTTGGTGAAAAGGGGGCCAAAAGAGGATACAGCTGAGGACTTCAGGTAGTCGTTGGAGAACAGAGTCAGAATACTTTCAGATGGGCACAGTGAAATAGTCACAACATTTGCATGAAAGGCCATAAAGAATGCATATGCTTCTCTTCACAAAGCTGGTTGAGCATTGGAACAGGAACCTTGCGAGGTTGACTGGGAGATCTTCATGCCTGGGGATGCTCACAAGTTGCCTGGACCAGGCTGTGGAGCAACCTAATCTGACTCTGGAGCTAGCTGTGCTGGCAGTAGGAAGCAGACAAGACCTCCAGAAGCCCCTTTTCATCTAAAACTTTCTTTGAATCTACGACTTTTTCCCACCTTCGTCAGGCCTCCAGGAACAGAACTCTTTGTATCTCAGGAGCTTTACTGTCACAAACTCAAACGGTTGTGGAGTTTCTTTGGTTCCTCAAAGGCAGCTGACTGAGGTTCTGTAGTATCACAATTTTGAAATAAGGCTGAACTTAAATATCTTAGTTGTACGTAAGTAGTTTTTTTTACCATCATTTAAACATGTCACATAACTTCTTAGAATTAAAACTGAAAGCTGGAGTCTATCCTCTTGTGTCTCTCTATCAGCTTTCTTTCTGTTAAACATCCATTTGTTTTTCTTTGTTTCCAATTCTTCCCCTGTGCTTCTTCCACTTAAAATGTTGCAAATAATTCAGGACACATAGAGACCTTAAGGCATTTACAAAACTGAATTCTGAATCTGATTAAACCTTCTAGATATTGTTGAATAACAACCAATAAAACCACAGCCCATTTCATCTCTGATACTGTAACAGGAGTAGCAGCTAGAGAGTGATTATTTTGTAATTCCATCGGACAAATAAGGGGGAGAAAATCTTTGAAGAGAATAATTTGTTTAGGACAAATGTTTTTAAGAGTAGATTGTTCTCTCTACCAAGTTCCATAAGGATTTCAGAATACCAGCTAATTAATTCATATGTATTTTCTCTTTTTGATATCAAATAAAATTTAGGGTTTTGCTTGGTATTTCTTTATTCTTTTCTCTAACCCAAACCACATGAGAAGCTCTGCTACCTTAACAACAATATAAAAGTAATTACAAGGAACTATTTTGACAAGTCTGTTGCAGCTTTCCCATCTCCAGATGGTCCCTTTCTTCTGCTAGACTGGAAGTGAACCTAGGTGAGTCAGCATGTACCCAGGAACCAATACCAAGCAGTCAGCAGTAAAATGCACTATTTTTTTCCAGCTAGTGCCCAGCCTTACACTGAAATAAGTAAGGCAGATTATTGTTTCAGTCTGTGTGTGTATAGATAAGCTGTTGCTTATTAACATGCAACTTACCCCTCCCCATAAGGTTTCAACACACACCTACACATTGCCTCCCAAACATGGTTCACTGACTGAGCAAGGGAGTGTTAGCTGGAGCAAGTGTGTATCCCAGTGCCAGAATACACAGCAGCAATACAAAGGACTAGCAGGAGAGGAAGAGAATATGCATGTCAAAGCTGCTCCATACTTCCTCCTTTTTCAGGTTCCCAGCAGTTTCACTGCATCAGCTTAGCCAAATTTAGAATAGATTAATAAAGCTGCATTAGT